TATGATCATAGCTCTAGCCCTTGCGTTCAGTACGCCTCCAGCTCTTTCTGCAGCCCCATTGGGTTCCTTGGTGTACGGCGGCGTGTGTTCCCAGATAATGCCCTTGCGTAATGCAAGCTCTTTCAGGCTATTCCCAAAGGCGGCCTCGTTGTCTGATGTGATAACCTTGACCCTGACCTCTAGTTGTGTCTCAATGAATCCTATCAGGCTGATCAGAGCGTTCATAGCCTCTTTTTTACGACGGAAGGTGTATGCGAATTTCACTCCGAAGAGCGTACATGTCCCGATCAGGGCTCTAGTACGCTGGTCATAGGCAGGGAGGTACTCGAAGAGGTCCACTGCTATGTGCTCGAATGGTCCATGTCTCTTGGATCGTGGCCTTCGAGAGACGACCTTCCTTCCCTTGGCTAGGGAACAATACTTACACTGGATTGACTGTGGTGCGGTAATCTTGGCCCCAGTAGTCGCTGATACCGCTTTCTCGAGGGCTCTAGCGTTTAGGTGGCCAAGGCGACGATGCCAGGTGGTGGCATCGCCTGCGAGTTCCTTGTGGACTTTCCGGGAGTCATTACCGTGTAGATTATCGTCTTTGCGGCCTCTCTGGCGCACTTCTTCGTCGATCGTGGTCGAGTGTCCTCGTATAGGAAGAGGGTGGAGTATTCCGGGGGTATTGGATCCACCTACAGCCGGGCCCCCCAGGCTCGATCGCTGTGGTTCTGGACCTTCGTCTTCGGATGTGAAGATTTCCTCGTCGAGTTCGTCCGAATTAGCGGATTCTTGTACCACGTTGTCTGAGTCGTCAGATTGGTCTGAGATGCTCGTGATGGAGTGGGTTACTTCCACGAGGTTGGCTACGGCCTGTGGGGTTACTGCTGAACCGTCCACTTGTTGGCGCGTGCTCTTGGCTTTATTGGCCGTAGAATTGGCCGTAGAATTGGCCGTAGATCTGACCGTAGACTTGGCCACACTGGCCGAATCCTGTATAGGTCGGAAATCGAGTACTGGCTGTCCCTCGTGCTCTGAGAGGTAGGCTAACGTTTCTTTCTGGGGCCCATAGTACAGTCTGGAGCCCTCCATGTCATAGTACACACCTGCCTTCTTGAATAGACTGGCTGAGGCCAGATTGGAGTGCATAGATGGTACATACGCGGCGTTGTAGAGTATGAAGTCTCTGTGGCCATCTGGGCCATGGATTCGAATTCTGGCATCTCCCCAGAGCGCGATATCCAACTTCGTCCCACCGGCCAGTAGTACGTCAGACTCTGTAGCCGGCCGCCGATTTGTGAGATTTGCGTCATTATTGACTACATGGACGTTAGCTCCAGTGTCGTAAATGACCGAATTCTTCAACGGATAGTTCGTATCCGCCGAGATACAGCCGGCGGTCAACGTATTGTTGAGAGCGGCTGGGTTGTAGACCGTCGAGGCGCCAGCTAACGCTAGCCTCTGGTGGTTAGGTCTATCTTGACCGAAGGTCCCGTCGCGAATAGCATCCACTTTGGCCTTGAGATTCTGTGGCAACTTGGCGTATTTGGCATCCACAATCTTCTGGACGCTTTTCCTAGCGGTCCAGTTAGCCGGTTTATTGGGATAAGATAATAGCAATTCTGCCACGAGTGTTTCTTTCCGCAGAGGCATTTGGGTTTCGAATCCACACTTCCTCTCTGTTGGAGTTCCTCTGGCGCCGCTTCGTCCCTAAATGTAGCATCAAAAGTGGCCCTGGATACGCTGCTCGTATCATCTCTGTTGAGGTCCAAGTGTCGTTGGAGGGATTCGTAAATCGTGTCTACCGTAGGTACGTCCTCTTCTCTGGTAATCAGCTGATACTCCCACATAGAGCTGAACTCTGGTGCGGCTGGTTTTATTCCTCTGACGAAGCTGTATTTAGGATGCTGGCCTTAGATTATCTCGCAGCCTGCCTCGGAGGCGTTGATGTAGGCCGTCCACCAGGCATCAGCCCATTTGGCTGCATTCTGCTTCTGGGCTGGCCTACAGGCCCTCAAGTAAGCGGCTTCCATGTCCATCTTGTAGGCTTGAGATCCTGGCTTGAAGTAGCCTTGGATGGCCTTCATCTTGTCAGTCAGCGCGGAAGATAGAGTACCGCTCAGGGCTGATGGTTTTGAACAGCCAGGCGGTGAATTTATCGGCTTTCTCTTCAAGGGCTTTGAATTCAGCTATTTCCTCGTTATATCTGGATAGGCACTGCTTCCACAGAGTGCGCTCGAGGTCTGTGAGGTCAGAGAGAGCTGTAGCGTCCTTGTTGACAGTATTCGGATGTGGATAGATTGGCTTCTCTGGCATGTCCGTAGGGTTGGATGGGTTGATTATTTCCCATAGCTGGCGGCCAGCCTTGACTTCGGTTATTGGAATCCATAGATGCCAGTCCTTCTTGGACTTCAGAAACACCGCTTCGCGCGTAACGGTGGTTTCGGGGGTTTGGAAGGCCATAATTGTCGATGGCTTCAAAAGGCTGACTGCTGTAGTACTGGCAGCGGCGTCAGAATTGCTGAATCCGTAGATGATGGTCAAGATAGAGCCGGTGCGGTTATTCCGGGCTCATAAATATGGGACCAAATTGACCGTCAAAAGACGAGGGACCCACTCGTTGTAGAATGAGGTATTTTGGGTAGTTATAAGGTCTGACATCACGCCCATAGCAAAAAATAGAACTAAACTTCCTAACTTTACCACGCAACTAATTCTCGATGGATTCTGCTCAAAAAGAATCTCAATTACTCCTTGCAACTCAGGCTATCAGAAATGACTTAACACTTAGTATCCGACGTGCTGCAACAATCTACAAAGTCTCCAATACTACTCTCTAGGCGCGTCTTCAAAAACGTCAATCACGTCGTAATATCGAAGCTAACGGTCGGAATTTAACAAAGCTAGAAGAAAATACGATTATTCAAAGGATAATTGAGCTAGATTCGCAAGCATTTCCTCCCCGGCTAAGTTCTGTTGAAGATATGGTAAACCAACTGCTACGCGACCGCGACGCGTTACGCGTCGGCAAGAACTGGGCCTCTGTCACGACCTGGGTTGCATCGCATTGGTAGAGACCTCGATTAGGTGCTATCGACGAAGATTCTACTCTAAGGAGCGAAGGAAAGAAGATCACAACTTAGGTTCGAGGGAGCGCGACTAAGTCATCCACGCTTGGCGGGGCTCCTACAAGGGTTATGATTGGCTTCCCATCTGACACTGCCATGGCAGGTGTTCCAGCTGCAAGTCACCTGGTTGTAGTGAGTCTGCGAGGGTTGACCTTCACAGCCTCCAACTTCGTTAAGCGACAACCACAGCTTAAGACGGTATTCAGCCGTAAATATTATTATTATTATTATTATTAAATACGCCGTAGGCTCGAAGCCCCCGGTACCTCTGCTAGTACTCCCGTATGTCAAACCGTGCCCTAATGGCTGGACTAAATACATACGCTGCGTCGTCGGTTCGCCCTATTGGCGACTGCGTTGCGTTCACTACCATACTACGTTGGTTCTCAACCTACCAACAAAGTCCCCCCTGAGAAGATCGATGGTATCTGGGCCTTGAAGCTGTCCGACCCGTCCCTAGCAGCCACCTTACAATAGTCCCACTAACTACTGGTTCTCCTGTTGCCGTTGCGAGGTCTCTGCGAGAGTATAGTGGCCGTGGTGCGATAGCGGCCCGTAATCGTTCCCTCGGTCCTTCCAACAGCCCGCAAAAGAGGATTACGTGCTCTGCCGTCTCAGGGGCGTCGCCACAGCGGCATAGCGGCGAGTACACGCCAAAAGCCCCTGTCTTGAATAAGAAGCCTGCTAGTCCTATTTTTTCCGTCCTGATCTGGCACAGCGTAGACGCCTCCAGTCGGTTCAGGCCGAAATACTTGCCCCCTTTCGGTATCTGCATCGAAGGGCCCTCCGGTTCCTCAGCGATGGCGCGTCGCTGGCGATCGTGATGCTCTGCTCCGGTGAGCCATCTCTTCCTCCAGTGGCCGAGGAGGGCAGCCGGGACCTCCTTTTCCTCACTCATCCACTCGGAGCCCCGGGCCTCCTTCTCCATAGTGTACCCTGCCGGTCGGAGTAGCTGCGACGCCTGCTTCCTCTTCGCCGGCCTATCCTGCCGGAGTATATGTGACGGTTTAGCGCTCGCGCTGCGAAGCAGATTTCTCTTCCCGCTAAGCCGTAGCCGTTCTTCAAACTTAGCAGCCCGGGCACTAAGATAGAGGTCTAGTGGCGGGATTGCTGCTTCTGCTTCCAGGTGGCGAAGCGGCGTCGCTTTGTGGGCGCCACAGACTACCCGGAGGCACTCGTTCTGTATCCCCATCAGGCTCTTAGCTGGCCCTGCCGGTTCTTGCTAATTTATATTCTAGACTCTATACATTAGCCTGTTACCGTTATTATATTGACGACGGGCAGTGAAACCACCTGCAGGTTTAAGGTGTAAGATGATGGCAACCGACAGCAAGATCCTCAACAAGACCGTACTATCCGGGAGGTGGAAAGAAATAACAAGATCAAGAGCTCTTCTAGTTCTGATCAGAACAACAAGTACCTCAACAGGTACGAACAACTAGAGCCTCAGCAGGCTAGGGAAGAAAATGAACCTCAACAGGTGAAAGATGGGAACAATGGCCTCAACAGGCACAATCAGATCTATAGGGGAACAGAAAGTACCTCAACAGGTACGTCAGACATTGAATGCCTGTCCAAGTAAAGAGAAATTGGTTCAGATTACTGTGGAAAAGGCCGCTTGAATTCCTATCTTCTTCTCAAGAGAGTGACTATGTACATAAGGTCTTAAATACCTGTCAAGAACGTGCTTACATAACTCGTCTGAATATCCCAAAAAAAACGAAAACGAGCACCCAAAAACCCTAACCCCATGTCATACTTCCCTTCGTGAATTGCGAAAGTCACACGTAGCAATTCACGTACACACAAAACACAAAAACAACGGAAGGAATAGAAAGCAAAAACACAGAGGCCTTGCCTTGATCATATCAAAATACTCACAATCAGCTACATTGGGGGCTCCATGAATGTCTTCCGGAACTTTCGTCCCCATTCCCTCTCTGCCTTGTATACCTCTACCCTCGACAACTTTTTCCTCCTATAAATTTCCTCCAGTTCAGTCCAAGACTTGCCGGACTTCGTCTTGTCCTTGTCCTTTGCCATCTCTCTGGCCTTAGGGCCCCATCCTTGGAAGTCGGCGGTATGTGGTGGTGAAAGATTGTGCTCCGGGGAGCCACTGTGATCAAATGCAACCGTCAGGCTCAGGTCCTCCATCTGGCTGCTGAGACTTCGCTGGTGGCAGAGAGAGTTGTCCTGATCAGGACTATCCTCATGAGGATGGTCATTCAGATGCTCCACACGCAGCATCGGGCGGTCGTCAGACTGACGCAGTATACGTCGAGCCATTAGTTGCAGTTGTCTCATGAAGAATCTTTCTGCATCCTGAGCTCTCTCGTGGTTGAAGTGCTCGAAGTGACTGCTCCATCCCACGATGACAGGCGGTCTGGCACGAGACCAGTCCAGGCAGAAGAACAGACGCAAATTTTCCAACACCCAATACCCACAGTGCTGGGTATCCGATTGACGGATGCTTGTGACAATCTCCTGCTGGAATTGTCCTTGATCGGGGACAGCAATTCCGCATCTAGCCAACCAAGGCTCATACAACTTCCTCAGGATGGTTCTAGCTGCACTGTCTTGCTGCTGGGTACCACCGAGTGAATCGAACCAATAGGACATCCCGTACTTTTGGTCATATATGACCAAGATCCAATGGTTCTCGTCCTTGTTGATAACGGAAATGATGAAGCGGCGACGGCGGCAGGTTGCTTGGATATGGCGGTTGGTCAAGGAAGAGAACATGTGACCAGTCTCAGTCACCTGCAGGCCAACGGGCACAATATAGGTGTGCTCCTTCAGATCCTTCAAAATCCAAGCCATTGATGCGAGGAGTGTGGAATCAACATTCCATTCGATATTCTCAATGAGTTTGTCAAGGTTCCACATGTTCAAGGCCAACGTAGACCAGTACCACCCATGAGGTACGTGCTCAATGGGTGATAGCAGGCCAGGGAAGTCTCTGTCCACAGCTTGGCGGTCATCTCTCAGACTGCCTGACGCGTGACAATAGCCCTCAGGCCACGATCCTACAGGTCGTCGTCTGATGATACTTGTACTGAAGTTCTGGCGAGTGGTTTCAAGGAGGAGATTTGACCATACGGTCTTGTGGGGATGGTACAGGAGGAAAAGTGGCGATAGGGTTTCTGACGGTCTGATCAGGACGAGACTGTTGAGATTCGATGGAGGGCAGAGGCCGGTCAGGGTCCAAATCAGGACGACGGATATAGGCATCTTTGGCCTTCTGAATGGACACCAACTTCTTCTCGGCATCATCGACAGACTGTCCCTCAAATATGGGATTCATGGACACGTCTCTGCGCCTAGGATCCTGGCTAGGGACGTCTTGAGCTCTGGCCGCGAGGAATGCTCTGTCTTCTGAGTTCCGGCCGAACATGCCTTGCCTGCGTGTAAGCAGACCAAGAGAGTCTCGAGATCCTGCCCTCTGTCTGGCAGTGAACGTATCAGGGCTGATGAAGTCGCCCAGACTTGATCCAGTTGATACAAACGACAGTCCAGAAACCGATTGTTGCCTTGACGAGGGAGGGGGAGGGGAACCATTATGCTTTTGGGACAGCTTTTTGACGCCTTGACTGGTCTGAGTGCGCTTTGGAGGTGACTTCAAGCCCTCCTTGTTTGGAGTCTTCTCTGCCAATCTCTTGGATCGACGAGTGGTGTGGTCGGCCATCTTGATAAAGTGAGAATTTTGACAGGAAAACAATGAATAAATGTGAATTTTGACTTGATCAGGACAAAAGTGAGTCGGTTCTTGAAGTACTGTGACCAAGCGAGAAGTTTTCTGAAAATTTTTCCAGATAGTTATCCAAAAGTGCAGTCCTTTTCAGTAGGAAGGCAAGCACAGCCGGATCACTTCTCCACTTTGCACTTCCTTCCACAACTTCACTCATATTCGTCTTGCCTTAATCAAGGCAACAACTCTTTTCTTCACTGATATCTCATCATCCAGATCATTTAAATTCAATCCATTCAAACATGGATCAGAAAGTGACAGCTGTTATCCCGGTGGACAGCCACCATCGATTCCTGCTTGATCATATCCCCAAGCAGTACGTCTGGGTCGTCCGCGGTGACAGTGAACGCAAGCCAGTCGACTCAATGGAACCAGAGCTCTTCGTCTCCAACCACTATGAAATCCTGAAACTCCTCCGCATCCATGATCTCCACAAGTCGTCTCCCGCGCAAGGACTTTATCTGGAGTGGTCCTTCGATGGCGAGAAGCATGCCTGGGACTTCTTCTTGAAGCTTCGGGCTGACAAAGACCTCTTGAAGTTTTGGGACGTCAACAAGATGGCTCTTCTCAAAGACCTCGGCCCCGTCTTCACTGAGGCTTGGAATGGCGGTCCTCTTGGCAAGTACTTGTCACTCATGGTATCTCGTCCTCTTCGCCTGCCGTACGTTCCACTGCTCCATTTCTTTTTGCTTTGATCAGGTCTAACGATAACTTGTAGCAACACGAATCCCTGTGAGGGCTGTGTCGGCAAATACCAGCGATCCAGCGTGATGCTTGAGGGAGGTGACGATCGAATCCACCTCATGTGGCCTTTCTTTGGCTGCAAGTCCATCCCTGGCTACAAGGGAGGATCTTGTGGCAATTGTCTCTGGCAGCAAGACAAGCCGTGTTGCTATGCCACAATCAACAAGGGTGATTATGGATTTGACTGGAAGGCTTCGTATGACCCTGATCAGCAGGTCAAGATTCCCGACCAGAAGATTGGTCCAGGAGAGCGTCGTGGCTCCCAGTCCCTGACGAAGGGTCTGGAAGGTAGTCTGCGTAGCGCCTTGAAAGCTCAGCAGAAGCGATATGCCGATGGTCGAAGATTCGGCGACAATAGATGTGGAGAGTGAAAGGAGTGGTTCATGACGAGTAGAAGATGTGCGTAGGTCTGATCAGAGCAAACCAAAACACGTTGATGGCTTTTTTCTTCTTCCAAGCGCTGTGTTTTCCGAAGAAAAATATAAGCAGTGGTGAGCGACATTTCCAACTTTTCCCTGAATTAAGGTAGAGAGCGCCAAACTCTGTTCCCTTGGGATAGACTTGGTCCGATCAGGGCAAGAATGAGTGTCAAGACTTCCCGTAGGCTTCGGCTTTTTCAAAAGAATTTGTAGGGGGTTGTTGAAAATAACGAAGGTAACGGCCTTATCCACCTTTTCACCAACTTAACTTAGAAAACAACCAGCATAATACAAACATCTTCATCCATCTATTCTCGCCTTGATAAAGGCAAGAATGTGTCTGAAACATTCCTCCACATTGTGTTCTTTCGAAAAAGTGGTGGTTCAGTTGGGTGTAAGTGAAGGTAAATCTCTTCCACTAGTTATTTTGTCAAATCATTTCAAAATGCAGTAGGAGTAATCAAACCACTTCTCTGCGAATGTTCTTGCCCCGATCAAGGCAATAATATGTGGTAAAAGTTTCTCCGGTCTGCTTTTCTGAAAGACAGAACTTGAGGTAGAGGTTAGCGAGCGTAAGTGTTTTCGCCTCTCAGTCGCATCAATAAGACAAAGCAATTGAAACAACCAAACGACTTCCCTTAGCATAGTCTTGTCCTGATCAGGGCAAGACAGCCAGTAAAAATGTCCTCTGCGCTGTTTTTTTCTGAAAAGATCAGGGTTGGGCTAGAAGTGGACGAGTGTAATCATCTGTTCCACTGATTCACTCGATCGACTTAGAGCACAGCTAGAGCAGCAGAATCACTTCCCTTGGCATGTTATTGCTCCGATCAAGGCAAGAATATGCCCTACTTCTTCCCTTCGCAAATTGCAAAGTGCTCACGCCGCAATTTGCGCACCAAAAAACAAGACATAACACTCTTCCCTTACAACAGACTAACCAGCAAAAAAATCAAAAAATCAGGGGAATCTCAGGGAAATCAAAAATATGCAGCAAACGCTTCCCTTATAAAAGACTAAACAGAAAGCTTAACCGTGATCCAAAAACAGACAAGTGCTCCAGCTCTTGTGAGCACAGAGCTTGTTGTACAGCAAGTACAGTCTCTGGTGTGTCGTATTACGATTAGTGAAGTAAAATTCATTCGTCGCACATCAGAAACTGGCTGTATGTTCTTTCCTCCTCTCTTCTCGAACTGACGGGGAATTAACGAACGGTCTTTAAGGAATGTATTGTCGCTTGAACATTCTGTGTGTATTCGTCCGACTTGACTCGAATTGGATATCTCGGCTGCTCCAGTCTTATCCTGATCAGGGCTCGTTAATTGAGTATCGGTCTGAGCAGCTGAATTCTGAGGCAGTAGCCGAGATTCTTCAGGGACAACATCAAGGATATCAACGTTCTGAGGTATGACTGCTATATCGGCGACTTGATCAAAGCAGTAATCGTCGGTCAACATGATTTTCTCGTAGTCTGTATCTGGCGCAAGATCCTGATCCGAAGTGGTCTCTTCACCAAGCAGCGCAGCTGGTGTAGAGTCTGACGTATCGGCTATTAGAGCCGAATATTCGATAGCTGTCTTGCCTTGATCAAAGGCAAATGCATCGGAGGTATCAATTGTGGATTTCAGACTAGATGTAGTAGACGATTCTAAGTCTTGCGAGTCAGACTTCAGAGGGATCGGTCCTCTCTGTTGCGTGTAATCAGCGTAATTTCAATGTTCCTTCATAACAATAACTAACTCATCCCACGTCGGATATTCCCTTTCGAAAGCTCGAATAATAAAACGAGTGTCGTAGTCACACCATCGAATCCAGAGAGAAATTTTCGTCGTGTTTGATCTGTGGATACCGAATTCAGAGTAGACCGCTTCAAACATCTCGATGTAACGTCCCACACCTACATCCGGGACACCCCCACATGTGGGACGCCCTAAAAATGATGCTGTATATTATAACCATTAACTTCAACCTTTTTTTACACTTATTCTAATGCGAATACAATACAGCTTTCACCGTCACTAGGGTTGTCAGACTTGCTAGACTCATCTGTACTATCCTCAATTTCACCAGCCTCGATTTGAGCCTTCCGAATAGCCTTGATATTAGTAAACTTCGAATTTGGGCTCATCTTCACCTTCCTCCGCTTCCTAGTCCTACTAGCCTCAAGCTCTGCCTCTATTGCCTCAATCTTTCGCTGTGCGACAGCTAATTGGTAGTCCTTCTCATCAAAGCCCTTTTGAACTTTCCGAAAGAGTAGCCGCTGGGTATTTGGATCACTATCAAGCTTGCTGAATAAGCTGAGTTGATCTTGGAGCTCATCTCTCCTCTTAGGCGTTGACCAGGCTACTGCTGATGTCTCTAACGCCCAGTCCTGACTACTAGAGTGCCCTTTGCAAGTCTGACTAGGCTGTTTGATTGGTGCTGACGTATTCTCAAGGAGCAGGGGGCTCATAAGGGGTCTAGCTATGCTCGAAGGCCAGAGACCAGTATATTTCCATCCACTGATAATGTTCTTGACGGTCAATGCTGCTAGACGTGCCTTTATATAGCAGAGCAGAAAGTTTCTCTTCCCTACGACAGTAGTAGTATCCCATTGGTTAAGGTAACCAAGCTCTTTCTTATAGGCTGCCTTGAGGGGTCCAAAGACTGACTGATCGAGAGGCTGGAGAACGTGGGATGTGTGTAGCGGTAAGAAAAGCAAGTGTATCTTGTTTATGAAGCAGAGGTACATAAACTCTGTCGTTTCGTGGCTACTATGCCCATCTAGGATAAGTAACCTAGTCTCTTCAGGGTCCTCTGGTTGAGTCAAAGGAATAAACATCTTTGGTAGCCACTCAATAGCCGTAGAGTCTGACGTCCACCTATTCTCTGTTGCTGTAAACCTCCAGGCTTCGTATGGAGTCAAGTCTAGAGGAAACCACTGCTGCTGGACAGACTTCCCCTTGTATATCACAAGTGGGGGTAGTGCAGTACCAGTCGCAGAGATACACTCTAAAAGAGATGTCCAAGCTCGAGATCCAGGCTGTTTCTTCCGTATAGAACGAGTCTCAGATGATCCTAGAACAAGACCATTTGATCCTCTACCTTCTAGAATACCTGTCTCATCCATATTGTATCGATTCGAGGCCTTAATAGCTTTGATCTCAGGGATAGCGAGGTATTTGAACCATTGCCTGATCACATTAGCTGAGGCTCCATTAATACGCTGGGAATCGATAGCTCTGCTTCTCTGGACCTTGACTGAAGGGTTCCTCTTGATAAAAGCCTGGACCCAGTTCTTTCCAAGTGGTTCGGTGTCTCCGTGGATCTGTAGGATACGCTCGGCGAAGTCTTTGAGCTGTTGATAGGTTGGTGGGAGGCCTAGGGCAGCCTGGATTCGAACCCATTCAACCAGATGAGATTCCTGGGCTGGAGAGAGATCTGGTATTCAGCGAAGGCTATATCTCTTGACTGGGCTCCCTGAATCCGTCGTGAAAGAGTAGACCTTGGGTGTCAGGGTACGGCTAGGCCGAAGGCGATAGTACAGAGTGATGGGGAGTAACGGGCGTCCCTCCTACGTAATACCGGGTGGTCACTGGCGGTCTCAGGTAGGGGTGCCCACGGTGATGCATTGATCTCTACTCTCCCTCTATCTTCTTCCCGGGCCTCCGCCCCTTACATAGATAGCTAGAACCCGACGTCGGAGCCGCGGAGCACTAGTTTCCCCGATTGTTCCGCAAACCAAGACTTCCATATCGTGTCATGACTCGCACATTCCTACACCAGAGCCCCCACCGGTGTCCCACCGGTGCCTATGGCATTCTGTTCTCTGACATTGGGACACCATGCTCGTATGCTGCTTTTCGGAGGCTTTGACCAGTAGCTATTTCTTGAAGAGCTCGATAAATATCATCTTCGGTATATTGACTCATATTAGTGTAAAGAAGACGTACGTAAAATTTCGTAACGATTGAACCGATATTGGTAAAGAAAAAAGAGGTTGAAGTTAGAGGCTAGCGGTGTTGATGAGGCATTTTGGGCGTCCCACATGTGGGGGTGTCCCGGATGTGGGTGTGGGACGTTATTCCGTAATATTCTCCCAACTGAAAGGCGGTATGTCGATGCCTTGTTCAGGGCATGGAAAAGGGAGAATAACCATCTTCAGAAGGGTCACGCGATCCAAGTTACCGACTTGGGTATCCAACTGGCTCGACTTTCCCTCAGACAGGCATGTGGATTCGGTAGATTCGACAGGATTCACAGATCCGAAAGATTCAACGGATTCGACGGAATCAGCAGAACTAACAGGATCATTTGAATCAATCGGTCCGACGGATTTAGTGGAATCAACGGGATTGACGGAATCGACAGACAAAGCGTCGACGTAGATATCAACGTCTTCCTCGATCTCCTCGATAGGTTCCACAGAATCGACAGATTCGACAGACTCAACAGAATTAACAGAATCCACGGAATCAACAGGTTTATCAGGATACGATCCGATAGAATTGACAGGCTTGTAATGATCGACAGGATCAACGGGATCCAAAGGAAAACAAAAACGATCGTCAGTATCAGCACCTAACAGTGTGATACCATCTTCATAAGAATTCAAGATGAAATCCTTCCATGCACACAGGAATTGGTCCTTCAAAGCGATTAATTTCCTCCTCATCACCACCGCCAAACCCAACATCACAATAACCACCCATGAGAGTACTAGCAAGCACTCTCCATCCGACGCCTCGTCCTCCCAGCCTTCCTCTTCCATCACATTCAATCTCCCGAAAGTATCTTCGCTCTGATCAGACCAATCATGATGTTGTCTGCGTCTGCCGATATTGGCAGAGGAACGTCTGGATGAATCCATCTAAACTCTGCTGAAGTGTGTGTTTTAGGAATGAGCGTCAACACCTATAACAGATCTAGACTCAACCCCGCTTCGTGAAACAAGAAAATAGCCTTTCGGCTTAATCTTGTTTTCGGATTGTCTTGTGGAAGCTTGTGAACGGTCGTCGAGTCCTTCTCGTTCGAGGATCTGTGCTCATCCCCGGCCAGACCCCCATTTCACGACGGGCAGTGAAACCACCCGCAGGCTTAAGACGTAAGATGATGGCAACGGACAACAAGATCCTCAACAAGACCTTACCATCTGGGAGGTGGAAAGAAATAACAAGATCAAGAGCTTTTCCAGTTCTGACCAGAACAACAAGTACCTCAACAGGTATGAACAACTAGAGCCTCAGCAGGCTAGGGAAAGAAAGGAACCTCAACAGGCCCTTGAACAGTCACCTCATCAGGTGAAAGATGGGAACAATGGCATCAACAGGCACAATCAGATCTATAGGGGAACAGAAAGTACCTCAACAGGTACGTCAGACATTGAATGCCTGTCCAAGTAAAGAGAAATTGGTTCAGATTACTATGGAAAAGGCCGCTTGAACTCCTATCTTCTCAAGAGAGTGACTATTGTCAGAGAACAGAATGCCATAGGCACCGGTGGGACACCGGTGGGGGCTCTGGTGTAGGAATGTGCGAGTCATGACACGATATGGAAGTCTTGGTTTGCGGAACAATCGGGGAAACTAGTGCTCCGCGGCTCTGACGTCGGGTTCTAGCTATCTATGTAAGGGGCGGAGGCCCGGGAAGAAGATAGAGGGAGAGTAGAGATCAATGCATCACCGTGGGCACCCCTACCTGAGACCGCCAGTGACCACCCGGTGCTACGTAGGAGGGACGCCCGTTACTCCCCATCACTCTGTACTATTGCCTTCGGCCTAGCCGTACCCTGACAACTATGTACATAAGGTCTTAAATACTTGTCAAGAACGTGCTTACATAACTCGTCTGAATTGTGAAGGTCAACCCTCGCAGACTCACTACAACCAGGTGACTTACAGCTGGAACACCTGCCATGGCAGTGCCAGATGGGAAGCCAATCATAACCCTTGTAGGAGCCCCGCCAAGCGTGGACGACTTAGTCGCGCTCCCTCAAACCTAAGTCGTGATCTTCTTTCCTTCGCTCCTTAGAGTAGAATCTTCGTCGATAGCATCTAATCGAGGTCTCTACCGATGCGATGCAACCCAGGTCGTGACATATAACAGCGAAAAGTTGAACTTTACGGCTATTATAGTAGAGATTTCAAGCGTAGGTATCGTTTCTTTAGTCAAGCACGGCTAACACTAACTATTACAGGGGCTAACTACGATATATTATGCTACCCGCACATAATTCCTACTAAATCTCCTACTTAGTCTCCTCGTAGATATAGACTCTATGTTAAAATCCAGAGAATAGGCGGATAGCTATAGATATAGTTACTATCTACTATTTAACTAGTGGATATTGGTAGAGTTAGTTAGGCTTGTTTAATCGTAACAATACATTATTCCAGATTCCTAGTAGTAATAACAGCGATACTGTAGTTAGTACCCCCTTTATCACGGTATTCAAAATCTAAGCCGATAGTACACTAGACTTTGTCCGCTAGCTCCCTACAGGCCTGATGCGTGTGCATATGGGGTGTGAATTGTTGTATTGGGAAAGGATGGCCAGGTCAGCTATTCTGGCCTGGCAGAGCTCTTTTATAGCTCTTATCTATCTTATCTCTAGCTATAGGGCAACCCCCCATGGGGTCACGCATCAAGGCCTATGGGGGCAGCTAAACCCGACAGTTTTCTTTGAACTAGTAGGGCAACTTAGTAAATGTTGCGCTGCAGCCCGGAGATGCGACAATGTTACTACACTGAGATGTGCAGTGTCACGACCTGGGTTGCATCGCATTGGTAGAGACCTCGATTAGGTGCTATCGACGAAGATTCTACTCTAAGGAGCGAAGGAAAGAAGATCATAACTTAGGTTTGAGGGAGCGCGACTAAGTCATCCACGCTTGGCGGGGCTCCTACAAGGGTTATGATTGGCTTCCCATCTGACACTGCCATGGCAGGTGTTCCAGCTGTAAGTCACCTGGTTGTAGTGAGTCTGCGAGGGTTGACCTTCACATGCAGACGGGATATATAGGACACGAAGTAGCGCAAGCTTATAACGAGGATAAAGTCACTCGAGCTTGGTAGCTCGACTGAAAATCGGAATGACGTGATGCTATGTGATTTGAGAAGAAATGCTCTACCTATTGACCTATCATCTTTGTTTCTCATCTATAGCCTCTTTAGTTCCCATCAGGAGACGAGTATGAAACGCGCTAGGCGCGCACATTGGGTTTAGCCACAAACCCTAAGGAAATCATCCGTAGTTGCAGTTATGCCCTGCTTTTCATTTTATTTTTTCCCCTCACTGCTACATTTCGATAAGCATTTGAACAATTCATCTCCATAGTAGCAAAGTAACAGAAGTAACTACCCGAAGACGGATACATAACAAGTAGCTCTAGACGGCTCAATCACAGGCAGATTAGTTTGTTTCACTAGCATCAATGCTGAGTTAAAAAGTTTTTCCACCTGCTATGCAAGTCGTGATATTACTTATTCCGGGTGGTTAGAGTTCTAGTAACTCCACTTGTGTTTTTGGTTTACCCACTCACACCGGTACTTCAGGTAACAATCACCGATTATCTAAAAGATCAGGTTCGATATGTGCTAGTGCGTCCCCGCTCCTTATTTAGCAGGACCCTGCTTGCGAGCTCCCAAGGCCGGCAACGCAATATTCGGTGTGCATTAGTGCCGAAGTCGTTGCTATGCAGCACGTGGCGATAAAGTTGTACAGTTCCCACAACGCGGTTCAACTTCTGCAAGTGCACCAAAGCCCCGAAAGTGAGCAATATCCACCGAAGACCCTCAGGAAGATTTTCTTGTGCCCCAGTCAGCCATACCCGAAGACCTTCTTCAGTTGGATTAGGTCAGGACAGCTTGTATGGAGATGCCGATACCGCACTGGCGCCAAGATTCGAATTTCCTTTGACACGGTACCATGTATAGGATTGTCCGAGCTAACCGCGCCAAGCCCGCTGCACAAGGTTTATCTGATCCGTTGCAATCCGGGTCCTAGCATGCCGATCGGTCTTATAGAGCAGTTAAACCTGTCAGTTTTCAATGCATACTTCAGGTTTGTTACCGAGGTTTACGTCAATTGCTTATGATCTGTGCCCAATTGCAAGCGGGCTACGTTATTCCCGCATGTTATGCTAGAGAACCTTCGTCGATTACAGCCGGCAGTTAGGACAAGGGACTTGGCAATCCACCTGTGCGGCTCAATCTTTAGCGGGGAACAGAAAAGGCTTAGCAGGGAGTGGTAACATCGGTCGTGTAGCCCACAAAGGTGTAATCCACAAAAGTGGTCGGCCGAAGAAAAGGTTGCATGCAGTAACAGGAGCATACGCATACACACCTTCGGCCCGGAAATGATCAACCTTGATCGGCACTTACGTCTTATACTGCAATTGCCTATGGAATATAAACTGCAGATCTTTGAATCATACAACCATTCTACTGAGAAATTGAAAGCTAGATCAGAATGCTAGCAAACTAGGAATAGTAATAAGTGTAGCTTAATACGTCTATAAATAATTCTCGGAGGAGTCAAGTTTGTACGATACTGCATGAGCTATTCAAGATTAGTATAACATTAAATCTTCTCTATTTTCCATGCTGAGGGGCCGATTCCACTGTTCCGGCGATGGGTGGATAATGTGCTCAGTCTGCCTCGACTACTTCACTACTACCTGAACCAACTTGGACGTGGGCCCGAACTGATTATGAACAACCTTCTCTTCTGTTACCTAGACCCATCTGTTTAATCACGTAGTATGCTGGCGACACCCAACTTATCATCGCAGGTTCTATCCACAGTTATTGATTTCGCCGACTTGGCCATCCAGGTGGATGTGGAAAAGGGCCGTGACGGGTCTGCTCAAATTTTTTTCTGCCGGTCTCGTGGGTCCTAACAGAGCGGTATCAGTCTTTTTGTGAAGCAAGAGCCAGCAGAGTTGTGTATATAATCTGGCATGCTACGGTCGTCATATGATCATCCCTATCATCGTGCAGCATCCAACATCTTGAACTCCTACTCTTCACATCTCTTGGACACGATGTATAAGGTTTCTACTCTCCTGGCAGTGACGCTGCCCAGTCTCGTCTCGGCCATCCCTTTGACGCAGAGAAGTACCTCTAGCCTGACACACGATGCCTCAGTTGTATCAAACCAGACATTCGATTACATCATTGCCGGCGGCGGTGTTACGGGCCTCACCGTGGCCAGCAAGCTGAGCGAGGACCCCTCCATCAGAGTGCTCGTAGTTGAAGGGGGCTCCAACGACTGGGACGACGCCATGGTCCACGACATACGCACTTACGGCCAGGCCTTTGGCACCTACCTCGACTACAACCTCACTTCAACCCCCATCTCGTGGCGCAACGGGGAGACCTTGCCCATGATTGCCGGCCATACTCTCGGTGGTTCGGGTTCCATCAACGGCGCGAGCTGGACCAAGGCCCCCAAGTCACAGTATGATCTGCTGCCGCTGGTCACGGGTGATGAGTCGTGGGCATTTGACAGTTTCAACGAGATTATGCTGTCGGCCGAGAAGTTCACTCCCCCCACGCAAGCCCTCACCAGCAAGGGTGCCAACTACGTGCCTGCCTACCATGGCACCAACGGCAACGTCTCCGTCTCGTTTGCACAGGGCATTTTCAGCAGCATCCAGCTGCCAGCCATCAATGCCTCGCAAATGGTCTGGGAGGGCCTTGAAGTAGCGGTTGATGCTGCTAGCGGCGAGGTCAACGGCGTGACAACCATCCCCAACATGGTGCAGCCAGACGAGAGCGAGACCCGGGCGTCGCCGTACGCTTCCTGGATCAAGGGCACTGCCGATACGCGACCCAACCTCGTTATCCTCCTCGGCCATCGCGTCGTCAAGCTCGACTGGTCCAGCACGGAAGAAGGCGCAGACCTGGTCGCCTCGGGCATCCAGTTTCAGCAGTCCCGTTCCAGCCCCATTCTCACTGCCCACGCATCTCGGGATGTCATCCTCGCGGCTGGATCCATGCAGAGCCCACAACTCCTCGAGCTATCTGGCGTAGGCGATGCAACTGTTCTGGCCAACGCCGGCATCCCGCTCGTCAAATCCGTCCCCGGCGTGGGCAAGAACCTGCAGGAACAGACCAAGAGCAGCCTGTACTACACGCCTATCTCCACCGCCTGGAACGGCACGGGCCCCAGCACCGCTATCGCCTTCCCGAACGCCTGGCAGCTGCTGCGGTCCAACGCGTCGGCCGTCTACAACGCCACCATCGCCAGCCTCCCCGCGTACGCAGCCCAGCTCGCGGCGTCCGGCTCTGTCGTCAACGCGACCGCCACGGCGCAAATCATGCGCCTCCAAATTGAGAGCCTGTTCGCCAATAATGAGCCCGCCGCCGAGGTCTTCTGGACCATCGATACGGCTGGGCAGACGGTCGGCGCCGACATCTGGAACTTGATCCCGCTGGCGCGCGGCACTGTGCATGTGCAGAGCGACAATTCCTGGGACCAGCCTGCGATCGACGCGGCCTATTTCGGACACGAGCTCGATACGACGCTACAGGTGCTGGCCACGCGGCAGGCACGCGATGTGTATGCCGCGGAGCCCTTGGCTAGCATGGTGAGCGGAGAGATCACGCCCGGGTTGGAGAGAGTAGCGCTAGAGGCCGACGATGCCGCGTGGACCGAGTGGGTAAAGAGCGAGTTTACGAGTGTGTGGCACCCGGTTGCGACGCTGAGCCGCATGGCAGAGCAGGACGGCGGTGTGGTAGATGAGAGTTTCCGTGTATACGGAGTGCAGAATGTGAGGGTTGTGGATGCGAGTGTGCTACCGGTGCAGCTGTCGGCTCATCTGAGCTCGAGTTTGTACGGCATTGCGCTCAAGGCTGCAGGCATCATTAGGGAGGATCAGTGAGAGGCAGTAGTTGTGGGTGCCTGAACGGGTTATGGAGCAGTTGGACTGTTTTGACGGCTGGAAACTTTTAATGAGACCTATTGATTCGTAATGTCTAAATAATATAGAGAGTTGAATATAACCCATGATCTATCATTGACTCTGGAGAATGTTATTATGTTACTCGGTATAACGAGGAAAGGGTTTACTCCCCTTTACTCTATACTATTACCTTCGGTCTAGCCGTAACGTGAATGTACACCGAGCTGGCCACCCTTACATAACCTCGCATAGAAATTTTACGATAGTAAAACCACAACACCGTAAATCAATTGAAACTACTCTGAATCTTCCTCTCCAGAAGATGGCAATGCGATCTTACAAGTTCGCGCATTATGCCCAGTCCCGTTGCGAATACCACAGCGCCTCGGGCGCGTTTCAACACGCTTTGCGCGACCACCATTTCGGCGCTCTTCTTGCTGTATCTGCGTCGCCAACTCCCTAGAGTCCCGTAGGTCCTGTCCTTCTTGGAAAATAAGTGATTCTCCTTCCCGTAATTGCATTTTTTTAGTCCTCCGGCGCCGGCTTAGCATCTTATTTGCCTCTCGAAGCTCAGCGCACTCGGCCCGTACGAGGGCGAGCTCGTGCATTATCATTTTTATTATTATTATTATTAAATACGCCGTAGGCTCGAAGCCCCCGGTACCTCTGCTAGTACTCCCGTATGTCAAACCGTGCCCTAATGGCTGGACTAAATACATACGCTGCGTCGTCAGTTCGCCCTATTGGCGACTGCGTTGCGTTCACTACCATACTACGTTGGTTCTCAACCTACCAACAAAGTCCCCCCTGAGAAGATCGATGGTATCTGGGCCTTGAAGCTGTCCGACCCGTCCCTAGCAGCCACCTTACAATAGTCCCACTAACTACTGGTTCTCCTGTTGCCGTTGCGAGGTCTCTGCGAGAGTATAGTGGCCGTGGTGCGATAGCGGCCCGTAATCGTTCCCTCGGTCCTTCCAACAGCCCGCAAAAGAGGATTACGTGCTCTGCCGTCTCAGGGGCGTCGCCACAGCGGCATAGCGGCGAGTACACGCCAAAAGCCCCTGTCTTGAATAAGAAGCCTGCTAGTCCTATTTTTTCCGTCCTGATCTGGCACAGCGTAGACGCCTCCAGTCGGTTCAGGCCGAAATACTTGCCCCCTTTCGGTATCTGCATCGAAGGGCCCTCCGGTTCCTCAGCGATGGCGCGTCGCTGGCGATCGTGATGCTCTGCTCCGGTGAGCCATCTCTTCCTCCAGTGGCCGAGGAGGGCAGCCGGGACCTCCTTTTCCTCACTCATCCACTCGGAGCCCCGGGCCTCCTTCTCCATAGTGTACCCTGCCGGTCGGAGTAGCTGCAACGCCTGCTTCCTCTTCGCCGGCCTATCCTGCCGGAGTATATGTGACGGTTTAGCGCTCGCGCTGCGAAGCAGATTTCTCTTCCCGCTAAGCCGTAGCCGTTCTTCAAACTTAGTAGCCCGGGCACTAAGATAGAGAGGTCTAGTGGCGGGATTGCTGCTTCTGCTTCCAGGTGGCGAAGCGGCGTCGCTTTGTGGGCGCCACGGACTACCCGGAGGCACTCGTTCTGTATCCCCATCAGGCTCTTAGCTGGCCCTGCCCGTTCCTCACTTATAGTATGCCACGCAGTCGCCCCGAAGGCGATCACGCTACGGATAACCACCGTATATAACAGCCTCGCCCGTATAAGATCGCAGCCCCACGACATATTGACTAGCTTTGTCAGGGCTAGCTTTTGAGTTGCCATTTTTGTTTTAACACGCTCAACATGGGCGTGCCACGTCAGTTTGCGGTCGAACCAGACTCGTAGGAACCTCGCTGAGACTACCGGCGACACTGTGGCGTCCCCAAGGCGAATACTTTGCGGCAAGGGCTCTCGGGCCCTAGTAAAGTGCATTAGCTCACTCTTGTCAGGGGCGAACTCCATCCCGTGCCTCACTGCATTATCATTTTTGCTCCCTTCGCAAACTGGTCGACAGCTGAGAAAATATTCGTCGGAGAGCTATTCTAATGCTCGGAGATGCGCTTTTTCAAAAAAGTAGACTGTGCATGAGCCTCTATCGGGTTCTGTGGCGTCTTTAATACCCACGGTCGGTTGCGATTTCTGGGGAGCCAACAGGCGTCGGGGTCCGTAATCGTGCGTCCAGCTTTGAAATCACACTTTCTGGATTGAATGGAACAAGTCCTGCCCTTCGAAAGCCAGCTTGAACGTTTTTTCTTCCGAAAACTGCAAAGAAGGCGTCTTTGAAGATAGGAAAGAAGTCCTCCTTCGCGATATGTGTTAGTGACCGGCGTATCAATTTCTCTACCATCTGGCCGTACACCCGCTTTAATGAACCGAAACAGGCTACTTCAAGTGGCTGGAGGATGTGAGATGAGTGCGGAGGCATACACAAAGTTACAATTTTGTGTTCTTTGCAATATAGCTCGAAATCGCCGGAAATGTGGCTCTCGTGACCGTCCAACACTAACAATCGATATATCCCGGACTTTCGATCTTTCCTACAATTATCGAAGTGTTTAATAAATTCCATACCGATCTCGTTAGTCGTCAATCCTTTTGGACTAGGTCTAATTCTCCAATCTTTCGGAATGTTGTCGTCTTCGTACCAAGAAGAGAGGTGGTATCGGCCCGCAACAACGATGAACGGCGGCAGCGCCCAACCGGTAGACTGGACCGCTTGGATTACGGTAACCCATTCCCGGTTACCTTGCTGTATTGATTTTGGCCTGGCACGTCGTTCGGAGCTCGTAACTACTATATTGGTTGAGATCTTGCCCATCATAAACCCAGTCTCGTCGAAGTTGTAGATGTCCGACTCTTGGATACCGTATTTCGCGATAACATTCGCAACAAGCAGAAACCAATCTGCAATAAGCTTTGGATCTTCGCATTGGGCCCTTTGGTAATCGTAAGGACGGTTCCAACGAGTTTTCAACTCTTTGCGACGTGCGACGAACCTCGAGGCCCAGCGCGTTCCAATGGGCCCTGCGTTACGTGTCGCGCGGATAGAATTTGCCATTGCTTCCACATCAGCAATCCGGGGCGGAAACGCTCGTGCATCTAAGCCCAGTATATGCTTGATAATTACCTCCTCTTCTAATTCTGTCATAGTTCGTGAATTGGGCAAAATATCGCGTCGGAAAGGTACGCCGTTTTTACGCGTTTGGAGGGTGCTTCGGGTGACTTGGTACGTTTTTGCCGCTTGTCGGAGACTAAGTTTTTGGTCATTTTTGAGAGCTTAAAGGGCTAGTATTAAGTCTGCTTCGTTGTATGACTTTGCCATAATTGGTTGTTGAGAAAATCAAAGATTAAGTTGGCCGGTCGCGTTGGCGCATGAAAGTGGCCAGCTCGGTGTCATGGCCAGCTCGGTGTACATTCACGTTACTATTATTACACTTAGTATGCCTGCTCATTCGTCACATAAGCTCCAGCCTCTCGATATAGGCTGTTTTAGGGCTTTGAAAAGGTCGTACGGCAAAGAAATTGAAGACCTAATACGGGCGCATATAACCCATATCTCGAAGGAGGATTTCTTTTCGGCATTCTATAGGGCGTATCGTACGACTATACTAAGTCGAATACCCAGGCATGTTTCAGGGGGACAGGACTTATTCCGTACGACCCGGAATATGTGATTTCACAGCTGGATATTAAGCTACATACGCCTACACCTCCTGGGAGCTCGTCTGGTGCCCCCTTAATCTGGGAATCAAAGACTCCAAATAACCCAACCGAGGCGCAATCCCAGTCTGAATACGTTAAAAACAGAATCGTACAGCATCATAATAGCTCCCCGACGACAATACTTACGGCTATTGACCAATTTTCACGTGGTGCGACGGCTGTTATGCACCGGTTAGTTTTACTTGAGGATGAGGTCACTGCACTTCGGAAGGCTAATCAAGAGCTAAGCCGTCGTCGAAGGACTAAAATCGACAGCTACAAGATGGAGGATCTCTTAGTTTACGAGACGCTCAGGACTTACAGTCTCAACGGGATATTGAACAGCAGCTACAGGATGATATACGTGTAAGTCGTCGTCGTACGAGACCGGCCGAACCACGCCGACGGCGCTGTAGGATCTGCGGAGAGCCCGGACATAATGCTCGTACTTGTGAGAATGATGAAGATACGTACGAGGAAGAGGATTCCAATTAGTTTGAATTATTATTTTTTAGTTTAGTTAAGTTATTGAAGTTATTCATACGTGTCAGAGAACAGAATGCCATAGGCACCAGTGGGTGTCAGGACACTGAACGCAGGACACCGGTGGGCCGCCGGAGGGGTGTTTCGGACAAAAGACTCCCGAGTCATGATTACAATCTATGTGAAGCTTTGGGATAACGAGAGTCAAGATCCTTGGCATCGCCGACCCTGCTGTTATGCCGGGTCCAAGCGGCGGCCTAGCTATCTATATAAGGACCATCTCGAAGTAGGATAGGGAAGGAGTTGTCAGAGCCACAAGTGTCATCCGAGGTGGGCCGGCTTCCACAAGGTAGGAAGCCGTTTGTGGCGGCTAGAGAGCCGCTTGTGGCGAATGAGAGCCGTTGAAGCCGTTTGCAGCGGATAGGGAATCGCTTGGTTGCAGATAAGGAGCCGCTGTCCAAGATATTGGCCGAAGTCGGGGGAACACAGACATACGGAAGCAAACATCCAGAATCCAAGAGAGAACCTCGGCTGGTTATAAGTAAGGAGTCGAGACGGAGGAAGATAGAGAGGGCAGAGATCAATGCATCACCGTGGGCACCCCTACCTGAGACCTCCAGTGACCACCCGGTGCTACGTAGGAGGGACGCCCGTTACTCCCCATCACTCTGTACTATTGCCTTCGGCCTAGCCGTACCCTGACAATACGGTGCCAAGAAAAAGTGGCCAACTTGCTTGTGGGGTACGTTAGTTTTATCTTGATATTATATTAGTACATTAGGCTTCTATGTTCAGGTGAAGAAATTGTCAGATAGG